AACTTTTAAGTGGTTATTTATACTCTTTCGAGTCGAGCTTGATGATCTAAGTTTTGCAATGATAAGGATAGCCAGGAGAAGAACCTACGTACCCACCATTATGCGACGCGTTTCGCCGTTGGTTAAGCGGCTCATCAGGCATATTGGGCTATGTGGCTTTACAAATGTCGTACGTTGATAACTTGTATTTATTCCGCCCTGATGCGAAACTTGCATATGCAAATTTGTCAAAGTTCGACATTTGTCTTCATTCTAGGAACAGTCCTTTTCAAAGCAGATTTTTTTTTTTAAATAAAATGATAAAAAATACATTGTTCTAAAATAGTAGTCTACTCTTTAGTCAGGTATATTGGGCCTTATGTCCTGTCCACGTATGAAGGAATAAACCTTTGAAATAATGTGTCTATCCAGTTGTCGCCGTGCTGGCATGATGGCGTTCTGCTCGGCTTAAGCTCGCCGGATGGTGGAGGGGTTCTGGCGACATACTGAACTTTAGGACAGGTTCAAAAAAAAAAAATATATATATATATATTACACATGCCAGACTGTGAAAAGTAAATTGAGAGGGGATGTTCAATGAACCCAAGAGGGAAATTATAAAAAAGGAATAAATATTAATGACGTGGTGCACCTCACAAACCTGTCGGAATTTGATTTTGTTTGAACTTCATCTGGTGTTTTGATGAAGTATGACCCACCCTCAGGAACTTTGTTCCACCTTAGCCACGTTTCAAAATTCAGTTGCCCCATACCATGATGCAATAATAAGGTGATGTATACCAACAAAAACCTTTGTTTTTGTCTCGATTATCTGTCAAAATTTTCCATATAATATTTCAAATGGTTGGCAACACTACACATCGAATTCAAGTAGATACTACCCACTTTGACAGTTAATCAAGACATCAGCTGCGCTAAATGAACTACCTATTCATTGTGCCATGCCCCATACCAACCTCTTTTGTTCACTATCCCCTTCCTTGACCCTGTAGGGGAAGGAGACCTACATTATTATGTCAAAATCAATAAGTGTCCATTATGTATATTTTCACTTCAATTCATATGTATTTATATTTGTATTTCGGCGCTATGCGCTAAACATTAATACTTTTTAATATAAAAGAAAGAGGTATGAATAAATCCAAAAAAAATTATGTCTAAATTTAAGTTTCAGCTGACCGATGTAGTATTGGGAACCAGATGGCCTTACAACAGAGATTAGCACCGATAGCCACCAATACTATCTTTATTCTCAGGTTAGGCTGTCCAGTCAATGCTTGACGTCAGTTTATATAGTCTTGTCTACAAGAGAGTATTAGGTATAGGTTATTTTAATCTAAAAAATGTGTATTATTTTATTTTTCTTATATTAGATTTATCGAAAGGGACAGCATTCCAGTACGAATCGGGGGAAAATATCCCATACCACAGAACAAAAGAAAAAAATCCCTGCCTGCCTAGAAAGAGCTCGTTCTATTGGGGTTGGGTTTAACAAGAACTGCACAAATTTCGAGGAAACTAAGTCTAAATACCTAACCTTGGGAAAGTCTAAAAAATCCAAAATTTGACTTCCAATGTTTATCAGGTTCGTTTGTAGTCCGTAAGTTACAGTATAAGGTGTTTAGTAAAAAATCACAAGCATATCACCTGGGCGCCGCGGAGGCAGGCGCTTGGATGTAGTTCCCACGTGGCAGCAGCGGAGGTTAGGTTTTAGCACAGATATGGTTTATTATATGTTTACCTTGATGAACAATGGGTTGTTAGCCATTGAAAATAGTGGTAGCTGTTGAGACCGCATTTTAAAATTGTCAGCGACTCTTGTATGATGGATGCTTAATCGATCAATATTGTTAAAACGTTTTTCTTAAAGTGGTTCTGGTCACACAAATCCTCTGCTTCAATTCTCACTTAACAGCTGATGAGACGATCCAAAAGAAAAAAAGAACTTCTTAACCACATGGAACCTACCATTTGTCCTGTTTTGCCACTCTCCCTTTTGCACTATAGTTAGAGGTAAACAATGCACTTACTCCGAATGTCAAAATCTTGACCTACCAGCTTCGGTTTGATTGCTATTCGATATAGGGCGCTAGGATGATTTGAGTCGCACATGGCACTTATCCGGCAAAATAAACTTCTACAGAGTAGATTTTACCGTACAAGAAACCCTGAGAGGGCGGAAATTTGCAATGCCGATAGAATTATTTAAGACGCGAAGAATGAAACAAGCCAATGGATAGGAAATCTCAGTCAAATTCAGGTGGACGATCGGGTAAACGCAATGCCAAAATCCCTGATCTTATCAATAATGACGGGATCACAACAGTCATGCCAAGAAAAAAAGCCGAACATGTTAGCGGATAATGTGCAAGGGCAATCCGATGCTGATGATAATTCTTCGCTTGACAACACTTCTAGGAGAGAAGTATCAGAATATGAAATAAGTATCAGAATATGAATAAGCTAGTTTCATTTGCAGCTAATCTTACTGCTGATGGAGTTCATGTATGCGATTAGAATATATGGCGACTGCACAAATTCCTAAAAGCTCCCAACATTAGAGAAGGTTTAAAGAGAAGATCAAATCGCAAATCCGCAGGACCTGACGGAATCCCTGACTTTGTGTTAAGGAAGACCACAGGTACTACATTGGAGCACATTGCAATCTTCAACTATTGCATAAATTTCAGTTTCATGGAAAAGGGCAATAACTATAACCATCCTGAAACCTTATAAGGACCCTACAAAATGCAATAGCTACCGGCCAATTAGCTTAATTTCAGCCTTTGATAATCTTTCTGAATATTTTGTACTCTCTGAAATTAGAAATGTACTAGAAGAGAGAGAGAGAGAGCAATCCTATGTGATAGCCAATTCGGCTTCAGACAGTGCCATTCGACATCACCTGCCCTGATGGCCTTAGGGGAATAAGCGACTCGCGCTCTAAATAATAGACTAGTCTAGTTTTCTACCTGACAGAAGCTTTAAGGTGAAGTTCGAAGAGAACCTTTCGTTAGAAAGGGCAGTCAATGCCAGAGTTCCACAAGGGTCTCTCCTTGGACCCGTTCTCTTCAACATTTGTATTATTGATGTACCGTATGCGCCCGAATGGCAATTACTTCTGGCATACTCAGACGATATATTTGTGGCTGCAGCGGGAGCTAATACAGGGAATACTGATGACAAACTAAATGCATATTTGGACCAACTCTCCCAAAATGCATCTAAATGTCGATAAATGTTAGGCGATAACCTTCAAAGGCAAGAAGAAATATTTATACCGTAGCGCCAGGCAGTATGAACCTATTCTTGCTATTGGAGGGCAAAAAAATAAACTTCGACCAGATTAAATATGTTAAATGGTAAATTTGAGTTTAAGATGAAGTTCGAAGAGAACCTTTCGTTAGAAAAGGGCCGTCAATGTCTGTGTTCCACAAGGGTCTTTCCTTGCACCCGTTCTCTTCAACATTTGTATTAGTGATGTATCGTATGCGCCCGAAGGCCAATTAATTCTGGCATACTCATACTATATATTTGTTGCTTCTGCGGGAGCCCATGCTGGGAATACTAATGAAAGACTGAATAAATATTTGGACCAACTCTCCAAATACATCCAAACTTGGAAAATGCATCTAAATGTCGATAAATGTTAGGCAATGACCATGAAAAGCAAGAAGAAATATTTATACCGCTGGCAGTATGAACCTAATCTTGCTATTGGAGGACAAACAATAATACACTTCGACCAGATTAAATATCTGGCAGTTATCATAAATGGTATATTTGAGTTTGTAAGGCACATTGACTACCTTCTCAGGAAAGTCAAAGGCGTATTTTGGTGCTACCAGCAACTGGTGGACTTTCCGTTAAAGTCAGGCTAGTTATCTACAAGCAAGTAATAAGGCCACTAATTGGATTCGTCTTCCCTGTTTGGTTTGAGATCACTTCCCATCAAATGGAGAGGCTGTACATTTGGAAAAAGGTGATTTCTTAGGTCCTGCTTGGACTAAAGGCCAGTGCAAAGGGTAGATGGAAACTGGTAACTGCCTGCTAATAGAATAGCGTATGATTCCATCGTCTCCATCCGAATAGATAACTTTCTAATGACCAGCGCTCTTAGGTTCTTAGACCGAGCGGCAAATTTAGATAATAAGTTAGTTAGATAGCCTTTTGCACGAAACAGATGTCAAAAAGTTAATTCGGGCCAACTATAGGCCTCTGAGCAGTTTAGCCACTTTCAATGAAGCAGAACTTCTATATAGAGATGACCAACTTCTCTTCTATTATAGTAGGTTTGGGTTACTTCGCATATTACATATCAGTAGCCGAAGCACACTCATAGCGTTTCTCTTCCCTCGTCTTACAGGGTGTCAATAATTTAAAAACAGGGTGACATTGTTAATATTGGTCCTTCGAGCCTCGAAGTTTCTCAATTTCAATCCACTGTGCCCGCCAGATAACCACTACATATTGCCGGCACTCCCCATATGCAAGATCAATTTTGAATATCATTATGATGAAATGTGTGTTTTTTTGTATTTGTTGAGGTTCCTCCCCCCGTGCGTGCTAGCTGTAGGGTGACTAAGTTGGCTCGCCGCTGCGGAGGAGGAGAAATTCAACAAAGAGTTGGGTGAAAAAAAACACAAATAATATGGCAAAAACAGTAGCCGGTTAGTTAGTTGTTGGCCACAAATCAAAGCAAGCTAATTAATAAACACGAAACGACAATTAACGAATCTATAAAAGATGCTGTTCAAGATCGCCTCAAAATATTAGCGGTGATAACAGACGAAAGGTTAGTTGGTTGCGGTTTTCGGAGCGGTGTTTATAATTTCTTAATCAGTTGATTAAAAAACAAAAAGACAACTGGGGGAGGTGGTGGCGCCGTGGATTAAAAATTGAATTTAAATATTAATTGGTCCAAATATCTTGGAATTTCTCTTTTTTATTTGTTCGATGCAAAACAGCTGGAAAGGAAAAAAATCGAATAGAAAACCAGCAATGAAATTGATTTTCTTCATCTTGCCATTGTGCTTTGCCTTGGCCTATGGCCAATTTGGCGGTTTGGGAGGCCTTGGAGGCGGTGCTGGTAGTTTTGGCAGCGGTGCCTTCAACAGAGGCAGCGGAGCTTTCAGTAATGCCATTAATCGGGGAGTGAGTTCAATTGGATCGGCCCTTAAAAATGTACCCATACTGAATAATGTCAAGGATTTTGCCGATTTTGCTGTAAGTAAAAAAAATGGAAACATGGATCCACATGGAATCTCGAGGGTATATTTAAATATAATCTTGCTTTGTATTACTTAGAAACAAACTGGCCGCACCTATGCCACGGCTGCTGAGAAAGCCTTGCATGAGGAAATCTTCAAGAGTCGTAAAAGCTTTGTGGATGCCAACAATAAGTTGTTTGCTGCCGGTAAATCAACCTTCGAGACGGGTATTAATGCCTTTTCGGATTTTACCCCCACTGAGTTCCTGAAGAAGCTTACCGGTAATCGCAAATCCGCCAAGGGAGAGTAAGTCCACAGTTTAGCCTTCTGTTTTCGTCTCATTAATTCTTGTTTCCTTTTCTTTTACAGAGCCGCCGCCAGCAGACATCGCCAACGTGCCGAACCCCCAGCCGCTAGCAAACTTCCCGATTCCTTTGACTGGCGTGAAAAGGGTGGCGTCACCCCCGTCAAATTCCAGGGTGAATGTGGTTCCTGTTGGTCTTTCGCCACCACCGGTGCCATTGAGGGTCATTACTTCCGCAAAACCGGCAAGCTGATCAATCTCTCCGAACAAAATCTCATCGATTGTGGCAAAGAGGATATGGGTTTAGCCGGTTGTGATGGTGGCTTCCAAGAATATGCCTTCGAATTTATTACCAATCAAAAGGGTGTAGCCAAATCGGATGGCTATCCCTATTTGGATAAGAAGGATACCTGCAAATATAAACCAAATCTGAAGGGTGCCGAAATTAATGGTTTTGCCAAAATCGATGAAAAAGATGAAGAAACAATGAAAAAGGTCATTGCCACATTGGGTCCAGTGGCCTGTTCCGTCAATGGTTTGGAATCTTTGTTGCTGTACAAACGTGGTATTTACTCGGATGAGGAGTGTAACAAGGGTGAGGTGAATCATTCGGTGCTTGTTGTTGGTTATGGCAGTGAAAATGGCCAGGATTATTGGATCGTGAAGAACAGCTGGGATAAGGCCTGGGGTGAGGAGGGCTATTTCCGTTTACCACGTGGCAAGAATTTCTGTGGCATTGCCACCGAATGCAGTTATCCAATTGTTTAAATGGGAGAATGTGGAGAACTATGGAGTAATTTTTAACGGATAAAGAATGAGGAATCGAAGTATTGTGTATAGAATTTTTTTTATTTAAGTTAAACTTAATAAAAAATCTGTGAAAAAATTAAGAAGAACTTTAATTTTTATTAATGGATAAAACGGACAAAATGGTAGATCGATTCATGGACATTTGGATAAGGGTTTTTAAAGCTGTTGGAATATTTTTAGTAACGCGGATAAATGGCCCAATCACCAAAAATTGATGATCAGGCTAATGTGGATAAATTCGGATAATGCGGATAAGTGCTCTAGATCGCATAGATACTTTTCTAAGGCATTTGAGAAACGTGGATAAATATTCAGGCGCACTTGTATAATGCGGATAAAAAAATTATATTATTTTCTAAAAGCGGATAAATATTTTGAAATATCTGGATGACTTAAGTAGGTATTTTAGATAATTGGATAAATCGAAAACATATTTTCAGTTCTGGATAACGCGGATAATAATTTAGAGAATTTGGATAACGCGTATAGTTATTCTAGAGTATCTGGATAATACGGATACATAATTCAGGGAGTTTGGATAAAACGGATAACAATTTTAGAACATTTAAATTACGCAGATAAAGCGTTCAGGCTGCATAGATAATTTAAATACATATCTTAGACCATTTATATGACCCGGACAAATGTTTACCTCTTTTGGATAACATCGATAAAGATTTTGGGTCTTTTGGATAACACGGATAAATGCTTAGGGTTGTTTGGATAACGCGGATAACATTTTTTGAGTAGACGGATAACTCGGATAAAGATTTGGGAGTATTTAGAGAAAGTGGATAATGATTTTAGAGCACTTTGAGAAAGCGGATAAATTTCGAAGTTATTGGTTACCGCGAAAAAAAATATTATTTATTCATTTTGAAGTATTCGGATGATGGGGATAATGATTTTATATTAACGGATAATAATTTTTGGGCCATTCGGATAAGCCGGATAATGGGTTTTGGTCATTTGGATATTGTGGATAACGATTTCGCAGTATTTGGATAATCCGGACAAAGATTTTAGATCATCTGGACAACGCGGATAAAGATTTTGGGGCATTTGATTATGCGGATAATATATTGAGGTCATCTGGATAATACAGATAATCATTTTAGGCGTATAAATACTGCGGATACAAATTTATGGCCTTTAGAATAAATTGGATAACGGTTTTAGGTTGGATATAGCGGATAACGATTTTCCAGCATTGGGATAATGCGGATAATAATTTTATATCACCTTAGTAACGTGGATAATCGTTTGGAGCATTTTGGATATGGCGGATATCCACGGATAACCATTTTTAAGTGTTTGGATAATGCGGATACAAATTTCAGACCATTTGGATAAACCGGATAATGGTTTTTGGTAATTTGGATATAGTGGACAACGGTTTCATTGCATTTGGATAATGTGGATAAAGATTTTAGATCATATGGATAACTCGGATAATAATTTTTAAGTGTTTGGATAACTCGTATAAACTGTTTAGGCAATTTGGGTGAACCGGATAAGAATTTTAGGTCATTTGGATATAGTGGATAACGATTTTACAGCGTTTGGATAATGCGGACATAAATTTTCGAGCATTTGGATAACGCGGATAAAGATTTAGAGCATTTGGATAAAGCGGATAAGGGTTTTAGATCATCTGGATAATACGGATAACAATTTTTAAGTGTTTGGATAATGCGGATAAAGATTTTAGACCATTTGGATAAACCGGATAACGGGATTAGGTCATTTGGATATAGTGGATAATGCAGATAAAGATTTTAGATCATATGGATAACTCGGATAATAATTTTTAAGTATTTGGATAACGCGGATAAACTTTTTAGGCAATTTGGGTGAACCGGATAAGAATTTTAGGTCATTTAGATATAGTGAATAACAATTTCACAGCGTTTGGATAACGCGGATAACCATTTTTAGGTGTTTGGATAAAGTGGATAAAGATATTAGATCATAGATAACTCGGATAATAATTTTTAAGTGTTTGGATAACGCGGATAAATTTTTTAGGTCATTTCGATTAACCGGATAAGAATTTTATATCATTTGAATATTGTGGATAATGGTTTTACAGCGTTTGGATAACGCGGATAAAGATTTTAGAGCATTTGGATAACGCGGATAATGTTTTTAGATCATCTGGATAATACGGATAACCATTTTTAGGTGTTTGGATAATGCGGATACAAATTTAGACCATTTGGATAAACCGAATAATGGTTTTTGGTCATTTGGATATAGTGGATAACGGTTTCATTGCATTTAGATATTTTTAAGTGTTTGGATAACGCGGATAAACTTTTTAGACAATTTGGATAAACCGGATAAGAATTTTAGGTTTTTCGGTTACTGTAGATAACGACTTTACAGCGTTTGGATAACGGGGATATATATTTTAGAGCATCTGGATAACGTGGATAAAGATTTTAGAGCATTTGGATAACGCGGATAATGTTTTGAGATCATTTGGATAAACCGGATAACGGGTTTAGGTCATTTGGATATAGTGGATAACGATTTTATTGTATTTGGATAATGTGGATAACGATTTTAGAGCATGTGGATAACTCGGAACATAATACGGATAAAATTTTTTTAGGTGTTTGGATAATGCGGATAAAGATTTTAGACCATTTGGATAAAACGGATAACGGGTTTAGGTCATTTGGATATAGTGGATAACGATTTCATTGCATTTGGATAATGCGGATAACGATTTTAGAGCATGTGGATAACTCGGATAATAATTTTTAAGTGTTTGGATAACGCGGAAAAACCTTCTAAGCCATTTGGATAAGCCGGATAAGAATTTTAGGTCATTTAGATTTAGTGGATAACGATTTTACAGCATTTGGATAATGCGGATAAAAAATTAAGATCATCTGGATAACGTGGATAATGATTTTAGAACATCTGGATAGCACGGATAAGCATTTTTGGGCATTTGGATAATGCGGATAATGGGTTTAGGTCATTTGCAAACCGAGCATAAAGTTTTTCGAGCATTTAGATAACGCGGATAATGATTTTAGAGCATCTGGATAACGTGGATAACGAATTTAGATTATGTAGATAACTCGGATAAACATTTTAAAGTGTTCGGATAATGCGGATAAACTTTTTTGCGTCATTTAGATAAAGTGGATAACGATTTTAGGTCATTGGGATATAGTGGATAACGATTTCACAGCATTTGGATAATGCGGATAAAGATTTTACATCATCTGGATAACGCGGATAATGATTTAGGCTGATTTGCATAAGATGGATAACATTTTTGGTGTTTGGATAATGCGGATAATGAATTTAGATCCAATGGATAAACCGGATAACGGCTTTAGGTCATTTGGATAACTCGGATAATGATTTTAGAGCATTGGGATAATGCGGATAATGACTTTAGAGCATCTGGATAATCATTTTTTTTGTGTTTGGATAATGTGGATAAACATTTTGGGCCAATTGGATAAAGTGGATAAATATTTTATTAATGTGGATAAAAAATTTGGATCATTTGGATAGAGTGGATAAATATTTTTATAGTTCGGATAATGTAGATAAAGCTTCTAGATCGGGTAGATAATTTTTTAGAAATTTTTAGATAACACGAATAAGGTTTTTAGATTATTCGGATAATGTGGATAAAGTTTCAATGTCGTTTGGATAACACGGATAATATTTTCTGATCACCTGGATTAGCTGGATAATAATTTTATACAGTTGAGATATGGATACGATTTTTGAATAACGCGGATAAAGACTTTGCATTACTTGGAGAACTCAGATAATTATTTTACAGCATTTGGATAAAGAGGATAAAGCTCTGTGGGCAAGGGGATAAATTATTAAGTGATTTTACGATTTTAGGTGGTTCATATAACGTTTCGGATAACTTGGATAATAATTTTATACAATTTAGATAATGTGGATAAAGCTCTGTGGGTAAATGAGATAACGTGGATAAAGCTTTAAGGTTGTTATGATAAAGTTTGCCGAAATTTCAAGTAGAATGGATAACGTGGATAAAGCTTTTTTCATCATTTTAATAGCTCAGATAAAGCTTTTGATTGTTGAAATTCCATTGATAAAGCTTTAAAGCTATTTGGTTTCGGTGGCTAAAGACTTCAGAATCGCTTTAGGGTTTATATGATAAAGTTTGCCGAAATTTCAAGTTGAATGGATAACATTTACAGACTATGTGGATAACGTGGATAAAGCTTTTTCCATTTAAATAGCTCAGATAAAGCTTTTGATTATTAAAATGCCGTGGAAAAAGCTTTATAGCTATTTGGTTAGGGTGGATACAGCCTTTCAGAAATCTATATATATTTTATAAAAAATTCTAACTGTTTGGATGACTTGCATAAAGCTTTTTGGATTAAGATAAAGCTTTGAGGTAATTAAGATGCAATTTCCATAATTATATGCAGATTTTATTCCAATCAAATTGAAAGAAAGCTCGGAGGAAGCTTTTTATTATTAAAATGTCATTTATAAAGCTTTTCAGCTATTTGGTTAAGTAAGAGATTGGATGACTTAGATAAAGCTTTTAGGATTCAGATAAAGCTTTGATATAATTATGATATAGTTACCATAATTATACGAAGCTTTTAGTCCAAAAAGATTATAGGACGTGTATAAAACATTCAAAAAAATTTAAAGAAAAATATATTGAAAAGCTTTCTCCATTAAATTAACGTTTCTCTCAACTTTAATAAAATGTTTCAAAAACTTTATTTTATTTTACGTTTTCAAATTAAAAATAAGAAATATTTAAAAAATATATATTTATACAACATTATCTGTACTGCAGAACATAACAAATACAACTGAAAATTGTTTCCTGAGTTTTGCATTTCTTTGGCTATTCTAATACAGCGCGCGGGTGTACTCTCTAGTTGAACAAGCGCAGTGATAGCAATGACATCACGATCAACAGTCCCGAACTGACAACGGCAAAAGCTCCATCACCACCGCCGCCATTACCACCACCACCTTGACCACCATCCTCTTCCTCCTTTTGAATAATGGTAATACGTTCCTCCACCTGAGGATAGACAAAATCATGACGTCTCAAATAATCCATTAAAGCCTCAGAATCCTTTTTGGTCATGCGTATGGGTTCGGCACCACCTTCCTCAACAAAGGTATGACCATCACCACCATCCAAAAGAAAGAACGGGACAATGACATTGTACATTTTCGTTTGATCCAAGGGTTCATAAGTGGGTACATTGCAGGCAGCACAACGGACTTCGGCACTGACCACACGACTGCCAGCCTTCATGTTGTAATCATAGGTCACATGAACACCGGACATTTGTAGGAAACCACCACTTGAATCACGTTCATGCATAATGGCGGAATGTTCGAGGGCACCGAGTAAAGTTTTACCGGAAATTTTCGTCACATACAAGTCATTGTTGAAGGGCAGCACACCAACGGCATCGGCAGCTAGGATGGAACCATCAGAACGTTTTTCAATGGAGTTGCGAATACCTGGAACGAGGGGAGAGAGAGAAGGGGAGAGTTAATTTTTTTGTCATAAAATGGCATAGATAACTTATATAAGTCATAAAGATAACATAAATAAATAATCTAAGATTAAAAGATAACATAAATAAGTTATCTACCTCAATAATATAACGTAAATCAATTATCTAAATCCAAAAGATAACATAGATAAGTTATCTAAGTCAAAATGATAACATAGATAAGTTATCTAAGTAAAAAAAAAAAAAATTACATAGATAAATGGTTTAAGCCAAAAATGACATAGATAAATTATTTAAGTCATAAAGATATTATAGATAAATTACCTAAGTCATAAAGATAACATAAATAAATTATCTAAGTTTAAAAGATCACACAAATAATTTATCTACGCCAAAAAATAACGTAGATAAATTATCTATGTCAAAAAGCTATCATAGTTATTTATGCCAAAAAGATAACATAGATAAGTTATCTAAGTCAAAAAGATAACATAGATAAATGGTTTAAGTCAAAAATGGCATAGATAAATTTTTAAGCCATAAAGATATATAAGATAAAAGTCATAAAGATAACATAAATAAATTATCTAAGTTTAAAATATCACGCAAATAACTTATCTACGCCAAAAAATAACGTAGATAGATAAGTTATCTAAGTTAAAAAGATAACATAGATAAATGGTTTAAGTCAAAAATGGCATAGATCAATTATCCAATCCATAAAGAAAATATAGATAAATTATCTAAGTCATAAAGATAACATAAAGTTATAACATAAGTTATCTACATCAAAAATATAACGTAAAGTAGTTATCTAAATCCAAAAGATAACATAGATAAGTTATCTAAGTTAAAAAGATAATATAGATAAATGGTTTAAGTCAAAAATGGCATAGATAAATTATCCAAGCCATAAAGAAAATATAGATAAATTATCTAAGTCATAAAGATAACGTCAATAAATTATCTAAGTCATAAAGATTACATAGATAAGTTATCTATATTTTAAAGATAACATAAATAAGTTATCTACGTCAAAAATATAACGTAAATGAGTTATCTAAATCCAAAAGATAACATAGATAAGTTATCTAAATCAAATAAATAACATAGATACGTTATCTAAGTCAAAAAGATAACATAGATACATGGTTTAAATCGAAAATGGCATAGATAAATTATCAAAGTCCTAAAGATAATATAGATAAATTATCTAAGTCATAAAGATAACATAAATAAATTACCTAAGTTTAAAAGATTACACAAATAAGTTATCTACGCCAAAAAATAACACAGATAAATTATCTATGTCAAAAAGATAACATAGATAAGTTATCTAAGTCAAAAAGATAACATAGATAAATGGTTTAAGTCAAAAATGGCATAGATAAATTATCCAAGCCATAAAGAAAATATAGATAAATTATCTAAGTCATATAGATAACATAAATAAATTATCTATATTTAAAAGATAACATAAATAAGTTATCTACGCCAAAAATATAACGTAAATGAGTTAACTAAATCCAAAAGATAACATAGATAAGTTATCTAAGTCAAAAAGATAACATAGATAAGTTATCTAAGTCAAGAAGATAACATAGATAAATGGTTTAAACCAAAAATGGCCTAGATAAATTATCCAAGCCATAAAGATAATACAGATAAATTACCTAAGCCATAAAGATAACATAAATAAATTATCTATGTTTAAAAGATTACACAAATAAGTTATCTACGCCAAAAAAATAACGTAGATAAATTATCTATGTCAAAAAGATATCATAGATAAGTTATCTAAGTCAAAAACATAACATAGATAATAGGTTTAAATTAAAAATGGTATAGATAAATTATCCAAGTCATAAAGATAATATAGATAAATTACCTATGTCATAAAGATAACATAAATAAATTATCTAAGTTTAAAAGATAATATAAATAAGTCATCTACGCCAAAAATATTACGTAAATGAGTTATCTAAGTTCAAAAGATAACATAGATAAGTTATCTAAGTACAAATAAAACATATATAAGTCAAAAAGATAACATAGATAAGTTATCCAATTCATAAAGATTCCATAGATAAGTTATCCAATTCATAAAGATTCCATAGATAAGTTATCTATGTCAAAAATATTACATAGATACGTTATCTATGTCAAAAATTTACATAGATAAGTTATCTATATTTCAAAAAAATGGCATAGATAAATTATTTATCTTATAGATATAGTATAGATAATTTATCTAATTCAAAAAGATAACATAAATACGTTTTAAAAGTCAAAAAGATAACATAAATAGTTATCTAAATCAAAGAGATTACATAGATATATATTATCTACGTTACTCAGATAACATAGATATGTTATCTAAGTCAAACAGATAACATAGATATGTTATCTAAATTATTTAGATAACAAAAATCTGTTATTTGATTACTTTTTTGACTTAGATAACCTATCTTAATAAACTCAGATAAATTATCTAATCTAAGGCAACATTGTCGGTTACCTTATTTGAGTTATTTTAGTATTTAGATAACGTAGATACGTCATGCAATTTATTTTGATGACTCAGATAAATTATTTAAATATTCTAGATAGCGTAGATAAGTTATCTAGGTTGTTTTATAGTGTAGATAAATTATCGAAATTATTTAGATAACATAGATAAGGCGTGAAATTTATAGGATTAAATGAGAAAAAATTATCTAAATATTTTAGATAACTCAGATAAATTATCTAAATATTATAGATAACGTATATAACTTATCTCAGCTATTTAGATAACGTACATAACTGATTTAAGTCATTTAGATAAATTATTATGATATTTAGATAATTTGCCAAGTTTAGATAACTTAGATAACATTAAAAGGTGTGTCCGAAGATTGTGATTTTAAACCTACCTCCACCCTGAATAAAAGCCACGGCAGCATCAGTCCAATAAGCACCACCCAAATCATCCAAAACACGGGCATGGATCATGGAATCCGCAACCAGATTACCCAAGTTACATTCTTCTGAGCGGCAGATTTCCGAACGACCCTCCAAGTGGACTTTTGTATGGCCAACAATATCATTTTCCAAGGCTTCAACTTCGGGACGATAGGTTTCCAACAATTGCAGGACATCATCTTCGCGGGGTATTTCGGCGTTCAGCAAAATGGGTGTGCCATCGAATTCCAGCAAATTGCCATCCTTGTCGAACTGTGAAGGGAAGAAAGGAGAACATTTTCCATTACGAACCCATCTGACCTCTCGCGGAATTCAGAAATTTTATACCTGAACATGTAGTTTACCCAAATATTTGGTATAGGCATAGGCCTGCACCACTGGAACCTGCTTGCCAGAGGTTTGATTAACCACTGTGGGATAAGGGCCATCAATACGTTCAGCATCGGGTTGTTCACCATTGTACAAGAAGGTATTGGTGTGGCCACCGATGACCAAATCCACGTCGGGACATTGGGCAGCAATTTCCTGATCTCTCATATAGCCGGAGTGGCCCAAAGCGATGATGATGTTAATACCCTCGGCCTTAAGGCGGGCTGCTTCGTTGCTATATAAAAAAAAAATAAAAATTAAATCGTCCTCTTTGGAACACCTTACCAAACTACTTACTTGATGGCTTCTACTTCATCAACAAATATGATATCCTTGGCCTTGGTGAGATTTTGGGTCTCGGGAGTTAAATAGCCGATAACACCCACTTTGACGCCGTTGACATTCAATACCGTGGAGTTTTTCAGATTTTTGGCTGCCCTCAATTCGGGTTGGTTGGACAAATCCAAATTGGTGGTTAGTACGGGGAATTCGGCCTTATTCAAGAAGGGTATCAAACCCTTGACATCTTCATCGAATTCATGGTTACCCAGGGACTAGAAAAAGAGAAAAGATTAGGAAAAATTATCTCAATTCCCTTTTAAAGAGGCTCTATTTGACCTACAATGGCATCCGGCTGCAGTTTGTTCAAAAAGGCAGCGGTAATGTTATCCTTGAAGACATAGAACCAGGCCGTTCCGGTATAGGTGTCACCGGCATTCAAGTACAATACTGGTGGTCCACCATTCTTGGCCTCCTCGCGGAATTTGCGTACTCTGGAAAAATTAAAAGAAAAATATTTAAAATTTATCTTTCGATATTTTATCTGGGGAAAACCTACTCATAGGCCACTCGGGCGAAGCCACCATAGCACTTATTGGTATTGGCCATTTCTTTGGTACACTTGCCACTGTCCACACTGGTCTGTTCGAAACGGGCATGCATATCGTTGTTGTGCAAAATTATAAATTCGGTAACACCCTCCGGGGCTGCCCTCTTGATGGGATTGGCATCAATGGTGGAGAAGAGAGCTAAGCCAACGATGGCCAAAATTGAGAGCCGTAGCGCTGCCATTTTCAACATCTACTAATTAGGAGATGTTGATGAAGAACTGAGGGGTGAGAGAGAGAGGAGATGAAAAAAAAAATTATAAAAAATGAAAAAATGCAAAACTGGATCTGAATGTGAGGATAAAAAGCAAAAAAAGCTAAGTCACATTTTTTATAAAGTAGATTATGTCGTAGATGAATTAAGATAAATTATTTTTACCAAAATTTTTGAATCAGATAACATAGATAACACTTTATAATTCACATAAATTATCTATGCCAAAATTTTGGAATCAGATGACATAGATAAAACCTTTTTGTAATGAAGATGACGTAGATAACTTATTTTTGTCCTATATATGACGTAAATAAATCATATCATAGTAGGTACATGCCATAGATAAGTTATCTATGTTATGTAGATGACGTAGATAATTTATCTGTGTTATGTTCATGGTCTAGATAACCATAAGTTGTAATGTAGATGACGTAGATAACCTAAAATTATTAAAAAGATGAAGTAGATAACCATAAAAATATATATAGATGGCGTAGATAATTAAACAATGTTGTACAGATTACGTAGATAATTTATCTACGTTATGCAGATGTCATAGATAATTTATCTACGTTATTCAGATGTCATAGATAACTTATCTACGTTACGTAGATGACATAGATAAGTTAACTAACTAGTTAACTATTTAGATAATTTCAATTGCTTAGATATTTTATTTAAAATATTTAGATAATTTCGTTGGGTTATCTAAATTACGGGATTGTTTTTATGAGTTATCTAAGGTATTTAGATAAAATAGATAAATTATTTGAGCCCAAAAATAACATACATATGTTATCTATGTCAGAAAGATAAGATAGTTTAGTTATAAAAGAGAAAAAGATAACATAGATAAATTATCTAAGTCAAAAAGATAGATAAAATAACATACATAAAAAAATAACATAGATAAGTTATGTTAGTGAAAAATATGACATAAATAATTTATCTAAGCCTAAAAATTAAATAGAAAAAATATCTACGCCAAAAAGATAACATAGATAAATTATCTAAGTCAAAAATATTAAATAGATAAGTTATCTATGTCAAAAAGATTACATTGATAAGTTATCTAAGTCATAAAGATAGTATAGATAATTTATCTAAGTCAAAAATATAACATAGATAAGTTATCTAAGTCAAAAAGATAATATAGATATGTTATGTAAGTCAAAAAGATAACAAAGATAAATTACTTATGTCAATAGATTGCATAGACAAATTATATAAGTCAAAAATACAACAAAGATAAGTTATCTATGTCAAAAAGATAACATAGAAAAGTTATCTAAGTGAAAAATATGACATAGATAAGTTATCTAAGCCTAAAAAGGAAACAGAAAAAAATATCTATGTCAAAAAGATTACAAAGATAAGTTATCTAAATCATGAAGATAACAGAGATAAATTATCTAAGTCCAAAAGATAACATAGATATGTTATCTAAAAGAAAAAGATAACATAGATAAGTTATCTAAGTTAAAATATGACATAAATTAAAAAAAAAATAAGTTATCTAAGCCTAAAAATGAAATAGAAAAAATATCTATGTCAAAAAGATACGTGATTTTTGCCAAAAAGGTTACATAGATAAGTTATCTAAGTCACAAAATGGCATAGATAAATTATTAAAAAAATAAGGATAGTATAGATAACTTATTTAAGTCAAAAAAATTACAAAGATAAATTATCTAAGTCATAAAGATAACAAGGATTAATTATCTATGTCAAAAGATAACATAGATAAGTTATCTAAGTGAAAAATTATGACAAAGATAAGTTATCTAAGCCTAAAAATGAAATAGAAAAAGTATATATGATAAAAAGATTACATAGATAAATTATCTATGTCAAAAAGATTACATAGATAAGTTATCTAAATCACAAAATGGCATAGATAAATTATGTAAGTCATAACGATAGTATAGATAACTTATTTAAGTCAAAAAGATTACAAATATAAATTATCTAAGTCATAATGACAACAAAGATAAATGATAAATGAAGTCATAAACATAACAAAGATAAATTATCTAAGTAATAAAGATAGCATATGTAAATTATCTAAGTCAAAAAGAAAACATAGATAAGTTATCTAAGTGTTAAATAAGACATAGATAAGTTATCTAAGCCTAAAAAGGAAATTTAACAAAAATCTATGTCCAAAAGGCATAGATAAATTATCTAAGTCATAAAAATGGTATAGATACCTTATCTAAGTCAAAATATTACAAATATAAATTATCTAAATCATAAAGATAACAAAGATAAATTATCAATGTCATAAAGATAACAAAGATAAATTATCAAAGTGATAAAGATAACATAAAAAATTATCTAAATCTAAAAGATAAGACAAATAAGTTATATCAGACGAAAAGTTTAGATAGATAATTTATCTATGTAAAAAGCATAACATAGATATGCAATCTAAATCAAAAAGATACCACAGATAAGTTATTTAAGTCAAAAAGATTACATAGATAAATTATCTAAGGAAAAAAAGTTACATAGATATGTTATATATGTCAAAAAGATTACATAGATAAGTTATCTAAGATGTTTTTATAAAGTATCTGTGCCATATTTTTATCTAAGAACATTTGAAGATAATGTACATTATCTACCCTCAGTTTATGGTGCAGATAAATGAAATATATCACTGTATGCCTGCTGTAAATTATCTTCAGTTTCTCTAGAAAAATTATCTATGACTATGAAATTATCTTTTCAATTTCTACTACCCACTCTAGTGTCCATTGTTGTGCAGAGATTTCAAATTTAGCTAAAACTTGTTTTCTAAAGTTTCATTGTTCCAAGATTGTCTTAAATTAGATACATAAAATAATAATACAAAAAAAAAAAAAAAAAAAAAAATTAATAATTTTTTTATCTTCATAAACAAAAACCGGTTAGTGTTAGTGATGTATACGGTTTCGTTTCACTTCTTTTGACGTAGTTGCTTTATTTTCATAATAGATTTTTTTCGGGCATAATTAAAAACAAGTCTATTCGATACGATAGATTAATATTTTTAATAATTTATTTATGAGTTTTTTTTTTTGTTATTGGCAATAAAATTTTTGACATCATCACCCACCTAATTTTGTTTCAAAACCCTTTCTTTTGTTTTTTATTATTGTTATTAATATTCAATTGTGGATTTTGAAATAACGTTTTGAAATGTCTTTGTTTTTTTTAAGTATTATCTGAGATAATTGATTGTGAGTTTTTACATTTTATTTTTTTATACCCTCCACCATAGTATGGATGGTATATTAATTTTCCGTTTTTTCCGTTTGTAACTCATCGAAATATTCATTTCCGACCCTATAAAATATATATATTCTTGATCAGGGTAAAATTCTAAGACGATCTAGCCATGTCCGTCCGTCTGTCCGTCTGTTGTTATCACGCTATCTTCCGAAGGAATTGAGATAGGGTGGTGAAATTTTGTCTGCAGGCAGCTCAATTTCGAAGATGGGATATATCGGTCCACGTTTAGGCATAACTCCCATATAAGGGTACCCCCCAATGTATTTTGGGGTTCTTGAGCGCGTTTTTCAACCGAATTCGCTGAAATTTGGTACATTGAGTTCTTATTGGGTACTTAATGTCCCTACAAAAAATTATAAATATAGGTCCACTTTTTCTGGTAGTCCCCATATAAAGGTACCTCCAAATTTTCAGTATTTTGGGGGGTTTTGATCGTATTTTTCCACCGAATTGACTGTAATTTAGTATTTCGAGTTCTTAATAGGTACCAAATCTATCCACACAAAATTATAAATATAGGCTAATTTTTGCGGATATCTCCCATATAAGGGTACCCCCCCATTTTTCGGTATTTTGGGGTTCTTGAGCGCATTTTTCAACCGAATACGCTGAAATTTGGTACATTGAGTTCTTAATAGGTTCCAAATCTTCCCACAAAAAATTATGAATATAGGTCCATTTTATTCAGATATTTTTGGTATTTTGGGGTTCTTGAGCGCGTTTTTCTACCGAATACGCTGAAATTTGGTACATTGAGTCCTTAATAGGTACCAAATCTTCCCACAAAAAATTATGAATATAGGTCAATTTTTTCGGATAGCCCCCACCCCCAATTTTCGGTATTTTGGGGTTCTTGAGCGCGTTTTTCAACCGAATTTGCTGCAATTTGGTATTTTGTAGTCGTATATGGTAACAAATCTCCCTACCAAAAATTATTAATATTCGCCCCCTTTTTGGGGTAGTCCCCATATAACCCCCTTTTTATACCCTTCGCCACACTGTGGTACAGGGTATTATGTCTTTGTGCATATGTTTGTAACAGGCAAAAGGAAACGAGATAGACACATGGTTCCTTTTGAGAATATGCATAGAATCACTTTTTAAGTCGATTTATGCATGTCCGTCCGTCCGTCTGTCCGTCTGTCTGTCCATGTTAAATTGTAAACAAAGTACAGGTCGCATTTATGATCTGAATTGGATGAAATTTGGCATAGGTCACTTATTCGGCATAAGGACGAATCCTATTGAAATTGGGAAAAATCGGTTCAGATTTAGATATAGCTCCCATATATATATTTAACCGATTTAATGTAAATGGTCCCTATATATCTTTCGATTTGCACGAAATTTGGTACAGCCTAATCATTTAGGTCTAGAATGATGTCTGCCAAGTTTCATGAAAATCGGTCCAGATTTAGATATAGCTCCCATATATAGTTTCGTTCGATTTCATGTAAATGGTGCCCCAAAGTCCCTATATATCTTTCCATTTGCACGAAATTTGGCATAACGTATTGAATTGAGCCTAGAGTGATGTCTGCCAAGTTTTGAGAAAATCGGTTCAGATTTAGATATAGCTCCCATATATAGTTTCGTCCGATTTCATGTAAATGGTGCCCCAAAGTCCCTATATATCTTTCGATTTGCACGAAATTTGGCATATCGTACTGAATTAAGCCTAGAGTGATGTC